TCCAACAAGCGAGCAGCAAGCAACAGTGGGAAAACCGTCCGTCGATGCAGAAAAAAAACAGGAAGCAAGGGCTCCCAGGAGGGCAGCCAAATCCTCCTTGCTCAGACTGCACAAACTAAACAGCTTAAAGCTGAGAGAGTACTCATGTCCAAAAAGCTCACAGAAAAGGTAGAGGATGACAGGAAGTTATCAAAAAACACTACCTCTATTTGTCTCTGGTGTTTGCTCGCAGTCTTCAGCAGTAATCCCAGAGCTGGGAGAACAACTCCTCTGAGGCAACACTTGAGTCCGCCAGGTCCATTATGGCGGGATTACACTGTCACGGATTGCAAAGGCAGACCGTGGAGTTGAGGTAAGAAGGACCCAAACACTGGACTCTTATTGTGAAGGAGAGTCGATTTATTTAAAACAACCAAAACCCTACATATGGAAAAATAAACATACAAAATACAAAAATACATGAGCCCTGGGTCCCTAGACCCACACCATGACAGTTTTCGGATGTTGCTTGCCTTTTGTTCCATTCACTGTCCATTTGATCCCAGACTGCTTCAATAATGTTGAAGTCCGGACTCTGGAGAGGCTTGTCCATGACTAATAGTGTGTAATGTGTGTTTCTCTATTTGGCCAGTATGTTTGGGATCATTGACATGTTCCACAGGGTTCCTCACCAGGACCAATTCTGTTGATATTAAACATGCTTCCTTTAGGTACTATCGTTCAAAGCCATAGCATAAATTTTCACTGCTATGCAGATGATGTCCAGCTCTATCCATTAAGCCAGATGTCATTGGTTTTTTTCTGTATAAAAACAACATTAAGCACCTTAAGGCAAATTGTGATTTGGCATTGTGTAATTAAAACTGAAAAGAAACTGAACTGAATTGTCGTGGTGAAGAGTGAAACTATAGCCAATCAGAGACTTTCATCATATTGTGTGGTGGAGCGGAATCGAACTATAATTTTCTGTGTTCATAATTCCATGAAACAATGGAACCATGACACTTACTGCTGTGTATCTTTCCTGACTTCCATCCTTGAAGCTGATTTTAGCTACAAGTTTCAAATTTGGACTCATCTCTCCAACAGACCGGTTGCCACTGATTTTCAGTTCAATTCTTGTGTATTTTAGCACACCGGAGGCTTTTCCCCTCTGTTTCTCTTCGTTAAGAAGACCCCCCTCTATTAAGAGGTTTGGGTGAACTGCAGATAGATCAGCTGAAGAGTCCATCTCTATGGTCCTGTCAGGTGTTTGTTGGATTTTTGTTTCCTTTTTTTGAGGGACATGACTTTCAGATACTTCAGCTCATCTACTGTAAATCACTTATATGGGACGTTTTTTGCTAATAGCTCTATGGGAACCACTTTGGTGATGCAAAAATATTTCCTATCAAACTATTTCTTCTTTTTTTGTTGTTGTTTTTTGTTTGTTTTGTTTTGATTTTGTTTAAATCTTTGACATCTTCTCTCCATTATTTTGCATTTAACACTTTGGTGCAGATTAGATCAAATCTGATGACCAATCTTTTGCTTTCACTGTGAGTCAACATGGAGCCGAGTCATCCATGTGCAGCTCTTCCTCAAATTCTGCTTCTTTTTTTCTCACACGGTGACTTGCATTTAGGTGTTTTACATACAGATGTAGCCAAAGTGGAAGTTGATTATTTACGGCTCACTTGCTCAAGCATGCTCCTGTAGTTTGAATCCCAGTGATGAATTTGTTTGTTAATATGCATTTTTAATGGCCGTGTTTCCTCTTTTGTTTATGTAGCCATTGATTGGCTTTGTTCTGTCAGTCTTTCTTAACAAACACCTTCCACCAGTGTGGCTTTGGTGCAAAGGTCCTGCCTGCTTCCTTTTGAAAACCAGGCCACTTTTTGAACGCCTTTGAGAATTATTTTGACTAACAGAAGCTGTGACACATTTCATTGGATGAAAAACTGCATCTGCAAATCATTAGAGGTTTCCTGCACTATTTCCTGCACATTACTAGTTCTAACTCAAGGCCCAGCAGATTTATGTGGTTGTGGCTCGAGCAGTAAAGCAGTAGAGCACCTACAAATTAAAAGGTTGGTGGTTTAATCCCTAGCTGCTTCAGTTTACATGCTAAAGTACTCTTGGGCAAGGAACTGAACCCCAAATTATTCTCCAAGGCATTTATTAGTGAACGTTAGAAAACACTTAGATATAGCAGGGGTGGGGAATGCTTGTGTCTGACTGGATGAATGAAACATGTTGTATAAAGTGCTTTATACACTCTTTTTCTGGTAGAACTGTGCAGGACTGGCTCTAGATTGTTGGATTTGTCTGCTACAGAGCCTCAGGGTCAGAGACTGAGTCAGTTTCTCAGGCTTCGATGAGTGGGAAGCCAGTGTGGTACCGTGACCCTGCAAGTGAAATAAGCACTCCTACGGGCTGATGGCGTTCAAAGTTGCGGTTGTCATTTCTTGACTTTATTTATTTGATAGATGACCATGATATACAGCAGCGCCGCCCATAGATGAAGGTCCTGTGTTTCGCTGTGTGGCGTTTGAATGTTCTCCCTGTCCCTGTGTGGGGTTTCTCTGGGTGCTCTGACTTCCTCCCACAGATCAAACACATGCATGTTAGGCTGATCTGTGATTCTAAATCAGCCGTAGATGTGAATGTGAGTGTGAAGGCTTGTTTGTCTCTCTGCGTGGTCTGACCAGGGATGCACACTGGGATAAGCTTCTGCACCTGCAGTTGTTTTATCGGGGAGGGGGAGCAGTGGACTCTTTGTATTACTAACAGTCTCAGAAAGCAGAACTAAATGAGAGTGCTTTAAAACAAAACTAACACCTTTTAATGACATCTCGCCACATAATTTCCGTTATCTTCTTACAGCTGCTTAGCAGATCCTCCCTGAAAATCTCAGACTCATATCTGAAACCTTTTATTCCAGATCTCCCTCGGGGTTTGGGAGATTAATCATTGTCTTACAAACTGACATTTTAGTTCCACAATCGTCCAAATCGCCCTCTTTACTAATCTCAGTTTCAATCTAATGCCAGCAGTGACTTTTTAATAGTATATTGCAAGCAAACTTTTTGGAGGGGATCTCAAATCACAAAAAGGACCTTTCAGTGACAAAGGAGCTGAGATAAAGCCGTGCAGGGCTTGAGAGGTTTAAATCTCCACGTCAAAGTCACATTTTTACCAAGATCAGGTGTTCTCGCTTTGCTTAAAAATAGTTCATTGTATTCGGTCTCAGTTTTAGACAGACACAAATCTTTGTACGCAAATCCTTGTTCATATGAGAACTGAAGCAGAGATAAGACACTGCAGTCATGGTTTGTGCTCAGCGTAGTGTAAAACACATGGTGTGGAACTGCCCGGCAGTTTCACACTGATGTCGAGAAAGTTTACTCACATCTTCCCAACAAGTGTCAGGCACGCTCAGCAGTGCATTAATATCTGTCAACACTGAGTCACTGTAGGAGCTCCGTGTGCGAAGACTGGAACACGGAGCTGCACAAATCTTAATTCTTATTTAAAAAGTTTTTTTTAGTATGATTAAATTGGCACATTTTTCCAGTTTAACAAAGTAAAACACTTTGATCTGTAGTAGCAGCATTTTAGCATTTTGCACAATGACCTAAAAGGCAAACTTTGCTTATATTCTAGTTCGAGGTGCCAGAATTGGCCCTGTAAAGACTCCAATCTGGCCCACTGGATGTTTTTATAAAATGTGAGTTAGGGCATAAATTTTGTATTTTTAATTGTATTTTCTTTCTAAGTTTCCTACTAATGAAGACCTCTCCATGATCATGGTCACATCAGTTTGTTTTTATTACAATATTCAATTCAATTCAATTGAATTTTATTTATATAGCGCCAAATCACAACAAAAGTCGCCTCATGACAACATCAGCCTGTTATGGTGTCGTTGGTGGGTGCTAACAATGAGGTCACATGCGTAGCCAGCCTAGAAACTCATGTCTCCCAAGGCCCAGTATGTCGATGTCACTTCTGAAGACGATCCATAAAAAATTGTGGGTAACACAAAGTGTTGACTGATTTTCCTATTTAAACTCAACCTTGGTCCAATTTCCCCCAAAATTAAATCAATTTTTTTCACTACAATAGAAATGTAAAAACAGACATTTTCTGTGAATAAACAAGAAATTTCTGTTTATAATTTTACACATTTACCTCTTGCAGATTAAGCCCAGAGACTCGTGCTAAAAGATTTCTTGCATTTACTACAGCAGTGTTTTTATTATCATATAAAAAACATCCCCCTCCCCAAAAATTTCTACATTTTGTCAAAATTGGACTTTTTTTTTCTGACATTAAACTATCTCAGGGATTAAACGTGGCCTGGCCCACTTAAGATCAAACTGGAATAAATGTGGCGTCTCAGCTCTAGGCCATATATCTTTTCTTTTTTAATGAATGTTTTATATTCTTTAAAAAAAGATGTAGAGGGTATTTCATATTCTATGTAGTTCAAGTGTAATTAAGTGGAAAAGGACTAAAATAATAATGACGAGTTCTCCTAACAGCCTCTTGTAGCTCGCTCCAAAAGTGAATCAACCCCTCTACAACCTTCAGACACTTTATATACAGATTTAATTCTTCACGGCACAGATTCACCGAGGTGCTGGAAACATTCCTCAGATGTTTTAGTCCATATTGCCATGACAGCATCACACAGCTGCAGATTTGATCAGCTGCACATCCATGATGTGAATCTCCTGCTGCACCACATCCCAAGAGTGCTCCGGTCAGGTGACTGTGGAGGTCACTAGAGTGCAGTGAACTGTCTCACACTTCCATGTGCCAGACACTCAGTACCAGACATCGTGTTTACTATATGGACTACACTCAGTCTCAAAATACAGTCCAAGGGAAACTGACTACAATATATAGGCACTTTTCTTGTCTGACCTCACTCTGTGTGTGTGTGTGTTTAAGTGGGAGGATCCTCCTCATGCATAGGGGGAAGTCCCCAGTCTGGCACTAAGTGTATATTTAAATTAGCTTCCACGCTGAAATACAGGCCTGTGTCACTCTCATCTTCAAATCAAGGATTCTCCCTCCGCGTCTTCATCTCGCTTGGTAAGTCATCTCTGCCAACATCATTAACAGCCTATAGCAGCGGCTCAAGTAAGATAAATGTGCTTCGTTAGCATTTGAAACGCAGGTGAGAATCAAATCCATTTATCGAGTGCTGGTTAAGTTCCCATAGAGGACCTTCATAACAAACCAAGCGGCTCGTTGAGGCTTTTATAACGAGAAACAATGTTTTCTATCAGTTTGAACGCAGTTTACGTCCTTCTGTAGATTCCAAACATGAAAACAATAAGAAACGCCCTCCATAAATAAGCACAGAAATGGCTAAGTGCATTTAAAAGGTACTCTGAATTCAGACGCTGGGGACTTTATATGTGTTTCTGAAAGTTAAAGAGAGAACATGGTGTATATGAATCCTGAATTAGACACAGAGTGCTGCTCGCTGGGGTGTGACGGATATACCCGGGCATTAGTCTTAGCGCTCTATGTGAAAGCAGCGCGGGGCGGAGGAGGTGTAGAGATCTGCATCTTTTTGCACTTGGATGACTCAGTGCTCACTGGAGCAAAGAAAAATATGCTTAAGAAGAAAGTACATGATTTCTAAAAGGATGCTGGTTGTTGCTATGCTAAGTTTTGCTCCAAAAAACGTGTGGAAAACACAAAAAGAGGACAAAAACTGAGATATTTCTCAGTAAAGCCTCGATTTCTAAAATAATACAGTTTCACTGGGTCAAGGATGGAGCTAGCAGTCTAATCCACTACACTGCATACATTACATATCACAGCTGCTTTGCTGTCATATATATAAATACCAGAATAACACGCACATAAAATAACCAACATAATGTGTAGTTAGCCAATGCCACAGCTGCTCGTTTACAGCCACCCATCTTTTAAACGTTTCATAGAGATCAAGTCACAAAGACAGAAAGAAAATAATAAAATCATTTGTTTTGGTCCCTTTGTGTGTGTTTCAGTGTGAGGGTTATCAGGCTGATGGGTGGAGGCTGTGCTGAAGGTCAGTATCGGGATGCTTTGGTGGGGTGTATGGACTGTCTGGGGACATGTCAGAAATCACTTGTAATCAGCAGATGCAGAAGTTTCTGTGGTGAGAGCACACACATGCATTCACAGACACATGCAGGGGCATTTTTTTAAAGCAACTTTTCCAAGATTGCAACTTAAAATCCAGCTAGAATTACACACAAACTTGAAGACATATAGATGTAACATGTATTTTTGATATTTGACTTTCTTCCTGAAGGTAATAGCAACAGCAGAGATACTCTTAATAAACCCACACAGTTCAGTTTCTTACATGTCTTCTGCTTCTTCTCTCACGTTGTCTCCTTCTGCATCAGAGGCTGTAAATTGTAAGACTCGACCTGGCCACTACTACGATAAGCTGCTAAACAAATGTATAGAGTGTAAAGAGATCTGCGGCACACATCCTCCAGAATGCGCCCCACACTGCCAGAGTGAGTGCTGACCCCTCGGTGACCTTTGTCCTGATGGGGTTTTTCTGTGTTTTTAAACCTTAAAGAAGGAAGTATTGGAAAATATCAAAACTTTATCAAATTGTTCTGATTGACTAACATTGTTCAGAGCTTATATACCTGACATATGAATCTAGAAGCATTCAGTCAAAAGATCTGTCCTCCTTCCTTCCTAGCTGAAGTTGTCGCAGGACCCTCCACACTGAAAGACTCTGATATCCTCATCTACTCCCTGCTGGCTGTGTGCCTGGCGCTGCTGTTTTCTAGCTTGTTTCTGGCCTTTGTAGCCTTTCTTAGAGGAGGCAAGGCCAAAACTTCTAACCAAGGATCCACACAGGGCAGTCAATCCAAGAAGAAGAAAGAGAGCGAGGCCAGGCTGGGACAGGAGACTGGTATTCCAGCTGGGCAACTTGGAAAAAGCTCCAAAGGTTAGTCTGGAATGAACCAAAAAACCATTGGAAACGCTGAGCAGTTTAACGAGGGTCTGCCTTCTTCACTTATAGATATTCTAATGTCTCCGAGCTGCCCCGTTAACCTCGAGCCATCAGACGACTCCCTGCCAACAGAGACCTGCGTGTGTGTCCACTGCTTCCCCGACATGAACGTGCGAGGCCCGGCTCACAGCAGGACGCTCAGAGACCCTCCTGTGCTCTACCAGCAAGCTGTCCTCCAAAGAGCCCAGACCCAAAACGGAGGGGCTTGCTGGACGGAGCAGAGCTTCCGAACCTACGACATGAAGGTCCAGGAGGAGGCAGCAGTGGGATGAGTTTAGTGGTGCAAGTGAACTGGAATTAGTTACCGTGTCTCCGATCCATCAGAGAAGGTTGTCGATATACTGGATATTTTGTTGGGCGTAAAAAAACAACAACAAAAAAACAAAAAAAACCCTAAAAACGAAATGCTACAAACACCATCACAGTATGTGACAAATCAGTCCGTCACCATAAATATAATATGGACATAGCGTCTAGGTTGAATTTACTGACCACCAGGGGGCGAAACCAAGCCCTCAGCCTTGACCTTAACTCTACTCTTTTAAGCACTTGTTTAACACTTTCCGGAAAATCCTATAGCTCCATCACTCATTTCAGATCTTAAGAAATCAAATATTAACTCAATTTCATGTAAATTTGGTGATTCTGAGAGCCAGAAAAGAGACCCAGAGTGTTATGACTGGTTAATGATCAGATGCTCCCCTGATAACGTAGTCTCAAGACACAAAGATGGAGAGGGTGAAAATTCCCAGCTTTATAACAACAGTTCGCAAACCGTTTTTTGACCTCTCAGTTCCTTCACTCATCATTTATACTGAAACCTTCACACTCACTTTTAATACAAAAACCGTAATTATATCTTTGCTGGAAAAACTGTCTGATTTTAAGGATTTTTATGAAGTGTGTGTGTGTGTGTGTGTGTGTGTGTGTGTGT